AACATCTGCTTATTTCAACACTGGTGCTTCTGCTCAGGACTGTGGTTAGAATGCTACAACCCCCTAATGCATTTCATGAATTACAGGGAAAAAACAAAGTCTGATACACCAAATGTACCTTCAACCATAGCCTTACAAAAGAATTTCAGCCCAAAACTAAGGTGTCCCTTCACTCCCCTCCCATCTACAATTTGGCTCCTTCTTCACTGACCTCAGTGTCCCATGTTGTTTTTTCTATGTGTCTTCATCCTTTCCTCTTCCTGATGCAGGAGAGAATTGTTCTTAGGTTCATTTGTTCTCAAGCTTTATCAATTGAAACAGTTTGTGTAGAGTTCTGCAGTGCTGAAAAGTTGATCTCATCCAGGCTCTGCAATCGAGGAATTGCTGTCTTTCGCTGCCAGCACCGTGCGAGTCGCGCTGGCTGCTGGCGCCATCCCTGCACCTTTCCATTGTGTGGGGCACCAGAAACAAGAAAAGCTGCTGCTGCTGTTTTTGTCCTTCTGCCCACAGCATGACTGGCTGAAAGCAGCTAAGCAAACAAAGTTCATCACGAGCCATGCCAAAATAGCTGCAGCTGCATGGCACTGCCCCGGTGTGCGATGGCAATTTCGGCTGCGCAGTCTTGGCCATGCGGCCACTCCCGGCCTTAGGGCTGCCCCCAGTGCCAACCATAGGGCACTCCAAGCTGTATGGTTGCTCTCAGCACTGGCTCCCGGTGGCAGCACTAGAAAAAGGACCAAGGGGACTGGGGGCAGGAGCTCTGCCACCCCTGGGAAGGGGCCCAGTCCCACCAGGAAGGGGCCCCAGCTGCCCCACTGGGACGGGGCCCAGCAGGCTCTCCGGTGAGGGGCTCGGCAGCCTGCTCTTCACCCCTCAGGGGGCAGAAATCTCAGCCCAGCTGTCCGAGCAGGACAGGGACATAGTGTCTGTGACCAGCACAAGACTCAGGTACAGTCACAAAAGCTCTAAGTGTGGCTGGTGTTATTGGAGGTAGTACCTATACTCCTGGTGAAGCACATACCCTGGTAGGCACCTAAGCATGACACAGCTGCTTACTCACTACCCCTCAGTGGGCTGGGGGAGACAAAAGTAAAAAAAAAAAAGGAAACTTATGGGCTGAGTTAAAGACTATTTTTAATAGATAAAAACAAACAAACAAAAAACTCCAGAGAACCCTGAAGTGATACCAAAAAACCCACTAGCTCAGCACTATCCAACTAATACCCAGCCTGTCCTTGAACAGCAGCAGCCCTGGCAAACTCCTTGCCCCCATCCCTAGTTTATAGCCAAGCAGGATGTCCCATCACCGGGGGTCAGCTGTCCTGGCTGTGTTCCTCCCAACTGCTCATGCACTCCCAGCCTCCTCACTGGTGGAGAGGCAGAAAAGACCTTGACTCTGGCTAAGCTCTGCTCAGCAATAGCTAAAACATCCCACTGTTATTACCATGTTTCCAGGAAAAACCTGAAGTGTACCAGCCACTACGAAGAACATTTAACTCCATCCCAGCCACACCCAGTACAACCTTCATGACAGTGAAAAATATGAAGGCAAAACTTGACCCTTACCAAAATTGAAAATCTTGCAGACAAAGTGGCAAGGATTTGGTCTTTCTATGATACCTGGCATTACCTCCTTTCATATCAATAGTGGTTGTGTTGCTGATTTCCACCTTTACTGCTTACATTGTCACTCAAAGCTGCCAACTTACCCCAGCAAGGTTAGAGGTAACCACTTCAGTCTCAGCCGACACTCTGAATTTCCATACTCCTTCAATTTCCACCTTCCTTTTAATTTTTTAAGGGTATCTGCAACATTTACAAGTGCTAGGAATAATTTCTGTTTACAGAAGCTCTGAAGGTGACAAATTAAATTCCTCTGTCACAGTATGTTTCTTTCCCCCAGTGTTCTTCCTACATCTTTTCAGAGCCCCATTGAGGCTGACCACTAGACCAGGGACAATTTTTTTTTAACATGACATGAAACTAATCCAAAATACACACTTGTAAAGCAAGCAAGACTAAAAGTCATGTTTCTTCCTTAAGGGACTGCCATAGTATATTTTACTTACATCAACTGAAGTATACATCACAAAAGGTTAAATGCAAACATTCAAGACAATCCCAAGTATTAGATGGAAAATCAGTTACCTATCACTTAGAAATGTGAATTAAACCTTTCACAGAAATAGCACTTACAAAAAACTCGAAAGACTCCCTAGTTCACAGGTAAAGTTTAATCAATTAAAAAAAAAAAATCAAGCAAATGATTAGGCACAGTGAATGGGTTACCTCAGGCTGGCAGCTGGTCACCAGTGGAACTCTACGAGGCTCAATTTTAAGGCCAGTGCTCTTTAATGGAGATAGATAAGTCAAATGTACACTGAGTGCATTTGCTGGTGATACTAAATTGAGAGGAGCTGTAGACTCCCTCAAGAATAGAGAAGTCCTACAGAGAGATCTGAACAGACTAACAAGCTGGGGGGCAATGACCAACTGCATGAAGTTTAACAAGGGCAAGTGCCAGATTCTCCACCTGGGACAGGACAGTCCTGATTATTCTTAAAACTTGGGGAATGAGGAGTTGGATAGCAGCACAAAGAGATTTGAGGGTCCCAGCTGATGGCAAATTATACACGAATCAGCAGTGCCCTGGCAGCCAGGAGGGACAGCCCTGTCCTGGGGGGCATCAGGCAAAGCATGGCCAGCTGGGCAAGGGGGGGGATTGTCCTGCTCTGCTCTGAGCTGGGGCAGCCTCTCCTTGAGTGCTGGGAGAAGCTTTGGGAGCAACAATGTAAGGATATAAATCTATTTGTGTGCCCAGAGTAGGGTGATCAGGGTGGTGAAAGGAGGAGCCTGTATGAGACGGAAGGGTGACTTCACTGCATTCTACAGGTTCCTCAGGGTGGGCAGGAGAGGGGCAGGCAAAATGAATTCTCTCTGGTGAGCAATGACAGGACTCCAGGAAATGGAATGAAACTGCATCAGGGGAAGTTCATATTGGATATGAGAGGGTGGTTAGTCACTGGAACAGGCTCCCCAGGGAAGTGGTACAGCCCCAAGTCTGCCAGAGTTCAAGGAGCATCTGGACAATGTTCCTAGTGGTTCACTGAGGAGCAGGGAGTTGGACTCAACCAATACTACAGGTCCCCCCCAACCTGAGATATTCTATGATTCTGTGACTGTGAATTTAGGTCTTACTTTATGGAAAAGCACTTGAAAACTTGGATATTTTTATAATGGTAAACTTAACCAGGCTTCTAACAAAGGAAACTCCTAACAAACTGTACAGTAACAATGGAGATTTTTAATAAAAAATATATTACACACGATTTTATTAATTTTTCCATTAGCATTTCTAACCCAAAGTAGAAACTCATATGTAACATCCTGAAGGCTCTCAGTCCTGTAAGCAAGTAGTGAAGTGCTGTAGTTATGGTTCTGCATCAGAGAACACTTCTACTGATCTCAGTAAAACCAGGTAGTTGTCAGAAGGGGCGGGTCAGGTCTCGCTACTACGTCACAACAGTTTGCCTCTTTTCCCCTTTCTCCCTCCCCAAATTAGCATCCTGTAGGATCCATGAGCTGATTCCCACTCACTGTGCAGCCCACACAATCCCAGGTGCTAACAAGGGTAGTTGCAGGTCATCTCTTTGGAGCATTGTGAACTCTTAAGAAAAGCCAACTGCAAAACTTCCCCTTAGTGACATGAGAACTAACCAGGTATCTCAGGAATCTGATGCAACACATATTTAATATACCGTATCAAGATTTGCATGTGTAATACACTGTGATACATACAGTACCTTGTACATGCAAAATCATTGCCACTTTGTTTGTGTTTCTGCACACCATTCTGATGAAATCTGGAAATAGTGAGTTTGGTTATTAGTCCTTTTACAGAGTTTCACATGTTGTAAATGTGAATGTATACAAAACAGTCATACTTACATCTTTGCAATTGTAACTCAAATTATCCCTTTCCTAAAACATTCATAAAAATCCAGTATCTTAATACATTTATTTGTTATTTATTATATAAATTTATTTTGGGTTTCCTCAACCGTTGTTCCCAAAACTGCAAGTTGTTCTATCAGGTCAAAAGTGGTGCCAGACACTAACCAGAATCACCTAGGTTTGAAATGAGTGAATTTGAGGACTTAGGGATAAACTTTGTATTGCACCTAATCCAAAGCAACCTGGGTTTACTGGAGAGATGGTCCTGCTCACTTTCCTTGCCCATCCTCAACACCCCAATTCCTGCTCCTTCTTGAAGTTGGAAATAAAGATTACACACAGCATCCTTATTGTTAAAACTGATGAAGAAAAGGCTTGAGAAGTTGTAAGTGGGGAGAGCGACAGAGTAGGAAAAGTGACCTTTCCCTGCTCAGTGGCTGCTACAGCTACATTCTGTACAGTGTATTCAAAATAGAGCAAACAGTAACAAAAAATGGAATCCATCCTACATAATACTGCTTACTAGTAATGAGTCATGATATGGAAAACACCAAAATTTAACAGGCATCCGTAGAACCTGCAATTAGAACATGAATACAGCACTTCTTACATCAAGAAGTTAATTGCTCTGGCAGTTAGAGACTAGAGATAACCCTTAGTGTAATTTTGTGGAATGTATCTGAATTTTTAAATTAAACCAGAATAAATAATTTAAATCGTCATTGTGACCAATTTTGCAAGTTTTCCCTTCTTATAGTATGTATGTGAACAAGATATATTTGTGCATAACTTGAGGAATGAGAGCAGCTTCATATATTTTAATTGAAAACAGTGTTTCAAGTTACACTTATAAGCATCAAAACGTAAGTGTACAGACAACAGATCATTTTTTTCACGGTAACTGTGTAATGTTTCAAAAATAGTTTGTTGCTTTACAGTATTTTTGAAAAGAACATCCTTTCAACAAGAACAGGTAAGATGATTACAATTGTGGAGAACAGTGGACAAGGAACAGACACCTGAGCCGTTACAAAGGAGCGCAGGCCTTGGGTTCAAACCTCAAACAAGAGCTCCCCTTTCCCCACAAAAAGCAGATTTATGTACTGTGGCAGACACAATGCAGAGGATAAAAGCAAATTTTTGTCCTTAGTATGAGCCCTCTTTGAAGGACTCTGATACATCTTGGTTGGCAGCATCATACTGAGCAATGAAATGTTTGAGTTCTTCAACACATCGCTCACCTATTTCATGCAAATTCTGCCTCAGGGCAAACTGAATGGACTTCTCTAATGAAGGATCTTTATCAATTAGCATCTTCACTACCATGCCAAAGGTTTCACAGTCCTGTCTGTAGACCTAGAAACAACACATTGTAAAAATTATTAAACGCAAAACTCTTTACATTAGCACGACAGCCCTTACTGAGTTAGATCCAAATGTAACAAAGGATACTGGATTTAACATGAGTTTCAGCTGTAAAACCTACTGGCCATTTCCTCTCTTCTAACCTGTGCTAATAAAAATTAAACTAGCTCAGCACTATCTGGATACCAAAAATAACTTTTATGGGATGAAATACCATAATAGAGAAATGAAGTTCCCCTTGCAGCAATATTTAATAAGTAACAGTAGAGCAAAGAACAAATGCTAAACCAGATTTTCTTCTCATTTAAATATATTTAAAATTAAACTGTGAAATGTCTAGCAATCTCAATCTTCATACACAGCACCAATAATTTAGTTTGTAATCTTTCCTAATGCTTTAAATGCCAGTTGTGTTTAAATAATTTCACAAAATTTTGTTTGTTTGTTGGATATCTGTTTCTTGTAGAAGTCCTTGATGAAGATGACTATAATTAGTTTGGATGCATTCGTGATTCAATCACCAATGAGTCAATCACAAAGATTAAAGATGCCAGATGCAGCTCATTTTCAAAACTCTTAGGCCAATTCCCATTTAGGAAATACATTAGCTTTTTGACTGAAGGTAAGTAAGTTTTCTATCTTCATACATCTTTTTTTGAGGGAAAAAAAGCTAAAATGTTGATATTTTTCCAAGTATGATTATCTTTTGGTATTGTCTGCTTGTCTTTGAACTTGTGTTTCATAGAGCTGTGCAACCTTTTCCTTTCATATTTATCTGTATTATGGACAGAAATGATACAACTGTATGCAAGCAATTCCCCTTTACTAAAAATGAAAGAAAAAAACCAAGCAAAACACCCCCATCCCTCCCCCAGTGAAAACCCACCCTAAGAACCCATTCATAAGAACCAGTCTGAGGTCAGCTCAAGCATCTTCATGTCAGAAAAACAGCAAAAAACCTTCTGTACAAAACTAAACTATTCTTAGAAATACAATGATTATAATGATACCTGTAATGAAGACAATTCTCAAATGCTTAATAGCATAGTCTAGGAAAAGAGTTTAAGATCAGACACACTTTTCAAACACTGGCTGGCAAATAAGAGAACCTTCTGGAAGGAAATAATCTTCAGTGAGAGTAACAAGTCAAAAAGAAGAGTGTAGCCCAAACCAAACTTGAGCTCAACATTTTTAAGTGTGGAAATGCACATGACATTTTTTCAGAGAGGTTTGTTTCCCACTTTGTAGTTCTTTGGTAGTAAAATAACAGCACAAAACCCCAACTCTCAGAGCTCATGCTCCACAGTAAGTAAAACACGGTACTTCAAACACAGAAAATCTGCATTGCTTTTTTCTCTCTTCCCAAAGAAAAGGCTCAGAAAGAGCTGCACGGGGAGGTACCCAGGGCTACAACTGAAGGAAATGCTCTACTTTTCATGGGTCTGCAAACTAATGGCAAATAGTGCTACCTGCTACTTCTCCCACTACACCACAAAGAACTAACCCAGATGAAATTCTCTGACTCTTAGCATATAAATACTAGCTTCATCTAAGCACATTTTTCTTCCAAACTTTCACAAAAGAAGACTTGGAAGAGAATCAAGAGAGCCCTTGTCATTGCTGAATCTGAAGTCAGAAGTCACTCTGCTGTCACAACAATCTGGAAACTAAATACTTTCATCCAAGAGACGAACATTTTCAATACTTTGTGACAAAAGATTTTTAAAAAATAGAATTTACCTAAATTAGGGGAAGAGGGCAAAGGTGGAGCAGGAAGACACTTTTAACAACAAAAAACAAAGGAAACAGCTCAGCTCCTCTAACAATAATTGAGCAATTTTCTCTCAACAAGCTTGTTGCCCCAGCTGCTAATTCTGATTCTCCTGGTACAATCTGCCTCCTTCACAATTGTGCTGATAAATCTATTTGTATAGCTGCAATGTAAACTGCATCACTGAGGTGCTCCCTTCTAAAATTACTTCCTCCCCTCAATTAATGTGATTCAGTGATTCAATTCTAAAACCAGATGCATCAGCACAAAGAACTGTGAGCCATGGTCTAAAAGTGAAAACTTCACAAACCAGTTTATATCTGAAGCCAAGGCACAACTACCAACTTTCAGAGATATGTTACTATGCTTTACAGAAGGAAATGGAGATTATCAATTACAAGAATACCAGTATGTTGATTAATTACAGATTAATGTACAATCAACTATTTGAAAAAACTGAAAAGCACTGAAAGCTCTTGAAAGAAGAACGGTGGCATGACATTAATATCTATTTTTACACAGAATGGAAGGAAGCTATTTCTGAAAAATGAGAATGTGATGCTTGAGGAAGAAAACTGCAGAAAAGATTCTAACCATGCAAAAAGAGCTCTCTATTAGGGAAAAATACTGGAAGAACTTGTGACCCAACAACATATGGAAATAACACTATCTTTAAAATTCCAGCTGATACTGATTTTGAGCTCAGACCATGGAAAGCTCATCTGTAAACATCTGGAACTAAAACCTGAAAATGATTCCATGTGTGGAGAAAGAAGAAATAACATTTCTAAAATGAAAAACAAGAAAGGGAATGATACCAATGACATGATTATTCTGTCTGACATATAAATCAGATAATCCTGAAAACAGCTAGAGCCACAGGGTGATCATTTACCGAGGCCCTAGCATACATTCATTCTCTGACCTAAGCTACAGCACCAGCATAATGGAAAGAGCATGTAAAACTTTAGTACATAGATGAAGAAGTAGTAACAGCTCTCCTGCTTCCAAATACATAAATGTAATTTTATAAACACACACTGTAGGTATGTGTATGTATATATATATATATACACACACACACTCTTGCTTCTTCTATGCATGGCAAGTATTTAAGCTGAATTCAAGCTCTTTGAAGCAATATGCATACTTTTGTATTATTTTCATGGAATTTCAGAACGTTAGATAACAAGGGCATAGAGGCTCTGGCTGAGATCAGCCCTTTGCCATGACCCATTTTCCATGTAAGTACTTGATGCAAATATGAAGTTGTGATGCACCTGCAATATGCTAGTGAACACAACTCATTTATTTGAGGAAGCTAAACCAAAATTTTCACTTACAACTGTTTAAATATAGCTAAAAGGCATTTACTTCCAGACCTAGTTAGAGAAATGGAGATGTCAGTCACCCAGGTTGGAGGCAATCAAGCCCTAGAACTCCCCAGGCAGAAAGAAACTTTTGAGAACTCCCTCATCTACATCTATGCCAAGTTTTCTCAGTGAACTTCAAAGTGCCATCAACAATGTCTTGAATGTATGACACTGACATGGAAAAATTATGCATACTACACACTCTCTTCTTCCAGCTCAGCTGTGGAATGTTAACCTTTGAACAGGAAGAAAGAGGGGCAGAAGCAAGCACGTGGGGACTGCTCATATCTTTGACTGCTATATCCCTCTTTCAGTGATCATTTAAAAATGGTCTTGGCTTAAACTGAAAAAAAACACTGAATGGCTTTGCTGATGGGTGAAATTAGACATGGCTAGGGAATACCTTGATAACATGCCTACTACTCAAAATAAGTCCATATAATTCTGGCACAGAATGTCTTTTTTCAAAATGTTCCAGAGCCGCATGTACACTTTGTGCAAAAAAGCTGTTGGACAATATAAACAGTAATGACACTGCAAACTAGAACTTAAGATGTCCTCCTGCAAATACAGGTTGCAGAAGAATCATAATAGCAATTTTGATCTCAAAATCTTACATACCTGGCCAAAACCCAGCTTTATTTCAACAGCAAGAGCAAATAACGATATTCAAAGAGGATGAGGACATCCTTATTTCATCTTTATTTCATCCCATGCACCAAGTTTCCCCAGCTCAGCTCTACAGTCTGTGCAAAGAAAGGTTTTTTTAACCTCTCACAGTGACTCAGAACAGCTAAAACCACAGTATCTATTCTAAACAGGCTTTGAGGAAAACAAGACAGAAGTTCTCTGATAATTGGAATGACTCTCTGGAAGACTAGTCCCACCAGGATACAAAAGTTAGCCTCTGTATCTCTCATGTCCACAGCTTGTAGAAAGTAGAATTGAGTAGCAAATGGGAGATGCAAATTTCTCCTGTCTTAGAAAGAACTCAAATGAATCTCTACTTCTCATTCCTGCGAGGGCTGTTCTAATAGATGTACTTTATTTCATATGCAGATATTAAAACATTTTCATCTCCAAATACAATTTTGAATTAATATGACCTGGTGGCACTTTTTTTGAATGCTGTTGGCTTCATGGACATGTGAAAGCCTCTTCAATAGAATTCATCCAGAGAATTGCATATGCCAGGCTTGAGCAGTTATATGCAGGAGATGGGCAAACTCCAGTGCAGAAAGGGGTACTTCTGCTCACAAAAACAAGCAGGACCAGCAAACATGATAAAGACCACATCCATTATGTGGATATGATGATTTAGCATGTGAAATTGATACCCTTGATTTAATCTGTAATTTCCAACACCTTATTCTTTTTCTTCACAGCCTTTCCTGGATTTTTTTTCAGTGTTTTCAGCATTCCATACATTTCAAGATTCATGTAACACTCTCTCGCCTCCACCAGAACTCTTTCAGAGCAACACGACGCAAGTCTAGACTCTCTGAGCAGCTCTGCACCATATGTACACAGCCCACCATCAGTGCCTGTGAGTCAGTACTTCATCTTCAGAGATGCCTGTTCTCAGCTCCTCATCCAAAGGCCAAAGACCCCCAAGGCTCAGTTAACATGGGGTTGTGCCTCAGAAACCATGTTAAATAGCCTGCAACCTTTAGATACTAACTCACTTTGAGAAGACCCAACATGCCCAGCAATCGCAACTTTGCATCTGTGATTCATGCAAGTACTCATTTAATATATTATTTTTCAGAAGACAGAAGCCTTTCAGTTACTAAGGGTGCACTTCCCACAAGTATCAAATACTCCATGCAAGGAGGAAAGAAGCAACA